AGTGTTACTCGATATTATTCTTAACTTTGATTAACGTAAACTGGAGTTTATTAATACACAGTTCTATTGATGCAAATAATACAATAAGCTATATCTACAGAACGTATTGTTGCGTCAGAGAGGTCACGTGACTAGTGTCAGCCACGTTTCTAGAACTATCTTGTTCCTTCGTGAATGCCCTAGCATTTACTAGATATATGTTTGTCTGGTATATATATAAGACGCTGACAACGTGACAACAATGTGTGTGTAGGTAGTGAGTAATTGATCTGCAGTGAGAAAGTATTGTTGAAGTTAACGTTCGTTATAGCGTTTGTTTTAGCGCGACTGTTGAAAATAAGTGTATCGGTAAAGTTATATTCAGAAAGAATAAACCAGTTTTAATAAGTAACAACTAGTGTCGCTAAAGTTTCGTCGGAACGAAGTTACGGAAAGTTAATTAATAAACGGAGACGGAACAGTATCTTTTCTTTATTAGCTCAGTATCCTGTTATTGCAGCTTCATCAGGAGCTATTGATAACCTACAAGTTTGCTAATCCAATTCAAACTAAATTGGAACAGTCTTCCACCATTCGTGACCAATTGTATTTAGTGTAAATAATATCCTCAAAGAATTCATGGCCAACTGCATTTAGGGTGCATAATGCTCTCAAACAGATTTTGACATTTGTATACCTTTCCTGTTTCAGGTTTGTCTTCAAGCTGAAAATTGGGATTTTGAAACGAAGAAGCTTATTAATAAATACACTGTTATCAAGAAGTACTGTAACTTTCGCTCCCTATAAACACGGACGACACAATCTATTAACAAAGCATATAATACATAATCAAATCTCGTTTTAATATAGACGCAAAGAAACCATACATAAAGGAAAAAACTTTAACACAAATGCAAGCACATATCACAAAACCCTTTAACAAAGAAAGAAATAGGACCTTTAGCTATGAAACATTACACTATCTTACTATTTAACAATATTTGACTAAACACATTTTCACAAAAGGTAAGAGTATTTGGGCATTTTTTGTAGAATTGATTACCATGGCTATAATACATAAGTTTGATAAGCAGCGCATGGGTATCGCTAGATACTTAAAAAATTCGGTGCTCCTGCTAGGGCCCAGGACTCGCGGAAATTTTCGGCGTTGTTTTATGTTACCGATCATGGTTTTATATTCTGCTTTTTCAAGAGCACCAAATGGATTTGGGGCCCTGTCAAATAGAATTAGGGCATGAGCTCCTTGTGCCAGTGCCTAGCGACGCGCCTGGGTAAACTGTATTTTTAGTTTTTAACAGCTGCAATGCAAAAAACAAGATGACCATCAATAAAACCGCATTTTAAGTGATTTTCGGGTATTTTTTTATCAACTGAGTCACGTCATTTTATTTAGCTATATTTATTATATTTCTAATGATAGAAGTTATCATAAAAGTTTTTTCTATGCAAAAGTGTAATAAATAACCACATTAGCCATGGAAAAATACAAACATACAACCGTATTGATGCAGTCTTAGTAACAGGGTCATAAACCGTGGAATTTCGGCTTTCTCTTGAAATTCTAAAACGAATGATTTGTTCTGATAGAAATGTTGCTTTCAGGCAAATTCAGCATGGTTTCTATAAGAAAAGTTGGTTGTAAATGCACTACCCAACAAAGAGATTGTTGTTACAAAAAGGTTTTCTGACGAGCGAGGAATAATATCATCGTACATATCAACTGATTTATCAGCTCTTGCTGCAACGCATGAGGAGGCTGATACAAAACTGTATGTCATCATATTGGTTTTTAATCTTTTTTGAAGGAATTTTCCACGTTCTTGTTTGTTTTTGTTTTTGATTATGCACAAAGCTACACAAAGTGCTATCTGTGCTCTGCCCACCACGAGTATCGAAACCCGGTTTCTAGCGTTGTAAGTCCGCAGATATGTTGCTGTGCCACTGGGGGGCTTCTCACTTTCTAAACGTATTGTTACGTCTCTGGTCGTTAGTTAATCTTCTGTAAAAATTCTTTGCG